CTTCTTCAATCTCTGGGTCCATCTCATCATCAATATCATCCAAATATGGATCACCACCCCCTGATAAATCTGTTCCATTTTCTTCATAATCTGGAAAAAAGTCCTCTCTTTCAAGTAATTCTTGATATTTCTCTTGGTAATCTGGATCAGCTGCAGTGAAAGGAACACCATCAGATGTATAAAATGTCGGTTCATTCATAAAGTAGTTAGGATCATTTTCAGGTGTTGCTTCTCTGTATGTTGAAGTTGCATGGACTCTACCCCAGTTACTTGACCGGAGTTCAACAAGCTTCAAGAGCATCTGTTTTACATCTCTGCTACAGTTTGCATCTAGGACAACATTTTCAATTCTCTGAATAATTTCTTCCATATCAGTTTTTCCTTTTTCCTTCCAGGCATCTTCCAAAACTGATCCTGTCAACTTCAGTAATTTTACTGCACAAATTAAGTTGTCATCCATTGGATTAGAGAAGAGGGCATTCAGCAATTCTCGTAGACCAACCTGAAGGATATCTGCTCTTGTAACCTGTCCATTTGTTCCCTTGATCTCCAAGTTAAGATAAAGTTCTCCCAGAAAGAGTACAAATGCATGAAATCGTTTTCGAGTCACTTCATCTCCTTTTGCAGCTTGATCTTTAACTTCATATTCAGTCCGACATCTTTGAAGTAGTAATTGGCGGAAGTTGCCACTCTGTGGGCTTATCGTCAGATGATGGGACAGGTAATTACACAGGCGAGCTCCCATATAAGAGAAATTTGGGATAGACGTAGCCTGTTGGTAGATGAGTTCCACAAGTTCTTGCAAAGCATCATCTGTTGTAACCCAGCCATTCAGGGTCTCTGCAAACTGTTCAATTTCTGTTTCAAAACTGCCAGGCTGTTCTGTAAGATGATTCAAAAAATCCTGAACATATTCTGATAGAGTGGGATAATCCTCACAACCATCCTCGTAGGATTCTGTATAATTAGAAGAATAACCTGATGGGTAAAATTCAGGGGCGTTCGCAGACAGTTTAGACATTAATACGGGAGCCACTACCACCTGGGGTTTAGCCATTGCTGACTCTGAGTTCTGCTGTGGGATTTTATCCTGTGAACTAGGTGGAGCTCTCAGGGGCCTTGTTTGTTCTGGAGCCCGATCGAAACCCTCCGACATGCTCCTCCTCCTCCTCCGGGGGCCGCTGCGCTCCGGATAGGATGCGGGGGGAGGCGCCGCAGGCCGGCTCTCTCCGCTGCGCCTCACTCAGGCCTCATGGAAGAACTGGGCGGCGGGCCCCGCTCCTCCGCGCTTCGGGCGGAGCGGACCGCAGGCTGAGCCCCGGCCGAACCCGCCGCTCCACAGCACCCGCCCCCTCGGCTGCCCTCTGCTCTAAGATTCAGACAAACATCTTTGTTTGTATGTGGTGCTGAGGCTCGAACCCAGG